GGCGCTTCTCACCCTTAATGGGTTTTATAATCATTTTTTGATTATAAAAAAGGGGAGAATGATGGGTATTCGAAACGGGTTTGTCGAATATTCATTTGCGGATTTGAAGACCGGTGTTACTTAGAGGGGGGAGTTTGTCGTAATCGTGCGTGCTCGTTGGATATTGAAGTCGGACATCCAATCCTAACTTTGAGGGGGAGAATGTTAGGGTGCAAAGTCAATCTTGGATGTCATGAGGGATTACTCCTTTATATGTGTGTCATGAGTTGTCTTTCCTTTATAAGGAAGTGAGTGACACTCATTTTATCTAATGAACACTTTGAGAGCATTAGTTTAGAGAGAGAAATTGCAAGACCCATTTTGTACTCTTTTTATCAATACTAATGAGAGCTAAACCCAGATTTATTTACTTCATGTGTTCTTGAGTTTATATGATGATTCACCTTATCTTTTCTAATTCCGCACATGTCATCATAATCAATCGTCACTACACAATGTTTTAATATAAATAAAATACATTTCTTCGGAAATGCTTTTATAATAACATTATCATATTTTTGGGAACAAATTCTGTAATATTATTTTTTCCAAAATGATACTCTGATTTTTAAATAAGCATAAACAAATCGGTTTTTTCTGGCCGTGAAATTAGGGATGTCACATAATAAAATAACCAAATTAATACAACAACCATTCATGTTAAACATACAAACCAAAACAAAGTACATTACAAGTTGTTCATAATTTAAACTCAAATGACCTTAATTTCAACTTGTACATAATTAAACACAAAAATGACCCAACTACATGTTAGGTACACCTTCAACTTGAAGACATCAGATTGAAGCTTTTTGTTCGACCTAAACAGCCCAGTTATGATCACACCTTCATTGTTGTACTGCATTTCATCAACCAAAGCTATAAAACCTGAACGAGCACCCTGATTCCAATTATTTTCCTAAATTAGTAAATGTTAAGAAAACTAGGGTTAACATCAGTAAATGAACAAAATGGTAAATTACCTTTTTGGGACATGCATAAAAGGGCCTTCCTGGGTTACTGGTAGTATGTGATGTTCGTATTATAGCCTCAACTCGACAACAACAGTCCATGTTCTTCATTATGTAGCTTCAAAGTGGAGAGTATTTGAAGAAGAAAACAATGTGCTAGAATGAAACAAGTATGTATAAAAGAAACTTTTAACCGATTTCTAGTACGTATAAAAGACTAAATTACCCCCACTGTGCAAGCCATGTGGGGTCACTAACATCCCCACTTTTTATTTCTTCCCAATCTAATTCACTTTCAACGGAATTTTTTCTGGATAAAAATTAGTAAATAGGATCATAGGCAATGAACAAAGAACATGTAACTTCGAAAACGCCTGTCATGAAGACGGGTCTTTCATTTATCAATGGAGTTCACTTACAAAATGCATGTCATATAGACAAGTCTTTTACATATATCGCCAAAAAAACAAATATAAAAATAAAAACAAAAAATCTACATACTAATATGCTTTGAAACCACCATTGCTTCAAATCCACCCATCAGCCAAGCTTAACAACTAAATGGAGCACAACCACCAACGACTGTGTCATCGAGTCAACTCAATATAAATTAAAGGCAGGTGTAAGGGTTAGTGGGGTGTTTGTATAAATTAAAGGCAGTAATTACTCTATGCATGTGTATCATCGAGTGTGTCATCGAGTCAACTCAATATTGACTCAACAGGTTCACTCACCTGTTGACTTGGCAAGTGAAGAGGCAGGACAACCTGCTAAAATGGGTGAAATGACTTTTCCAATTGGTAAAACAGAAGTACATGCCCTTAAGATGCAAAAAGTAGTCACGATGGACCATTTAAACCATTATACGTAAGTTTGCAGGGGTATAGTTACAATAACCATATTATTATGTATTACTAGTTTTTTTCCATATACTTTTATACATTATTCCATACAAATATAAATAGGTAATTTACGTATATATTATATATATTATTGTATTATTAGTGTATCAAGTATGTATTTTTTCATATTATTCATGTATTAAATAAGTATTATTATGTATAAACATATTTTTATATGTAAAAACTCACACCAAATACGTATTTTCGTATATATTATTATTATATAAGTTCACACCAAATATATTTTTATATACATTTTAAATGTATAATTACATTTTTAAATACATTTTAAATGTATAATTATATTTTTCCTATATATTGTATAAACTCACACAAAATACATATGCTTCGTATATATTTTATAAATTCACACCAAATACATCTTTAAATACATGTTAAATATATAATTACATTTTTAAGGGGCAATTACAAATCTAGCCAAATTAAGGAAGTCATTAGCAATTTATAGCCAAAAAATTAGTAAATGTCCAATTATAGCCCACGAAACCGTAGGTTTCGATATTCGTCTACTGTTTCGCCAAATCGTCTACTGTTTCGTATTTTGTATAAAAAATCATTTTTAGGATACAAAACCGTAGGTTTTTTAAAACCTACGGTTTCCCAAACCGTAGCTACGGTTTTGGATGAAAAAATACGGGTTTTTTTTATTTTAAATCTACTGTTTTGGGGGTTTTAACTACTGTTTTGGAGAAACCGTAGGTTTTAAAAAAACCTACGGTTTTGTATCCTAAAAATGAAAAAAAAATATACAAAACACGAAACAGTAGAGGATTTGGCGAAACAGTAGTCAACCTACAGTTGACTACTCTTTTGTGGGCTATTTTTGGCTAAGTGAGTTTTTTTTGTTATTTTTTGTTAAGTAATTAAGGATTTTGGCTAAATTTATATTTTCCCCCATTTTTAAGTTCATTTTTAAAGGTTTATATGTATTTATACATTATAAAATGTATTTATATGTATTTATATATTTATACGTTTTCGCCATATACATTTTAAAAACATATTTATATGTTTTTATACATTATAAAAATGTATTTATATGTATTTATACATTATATATATATATATATATATATATATATATATATATATAGACATTAAAAAACGTACTTCACATTTATATGTTTTAATAAAAAAATATAAAAATATGTTTTTGTTTGTTAAACCACTTGGTCGACATACAAAAAAATGGTTTAAAAAAAGTTCATTAATTTGGTTAAGAAACGTAGCAAGAAAAAAATGTTTTTTTAAAACGAAATAAATAAATTAATTAATTAATAATAATAATAATAATAATAATACCTCCTTATAGATACATGAAAGCGGAAAATAAGCATATCGAAGTCTCCTTGCTAGGTGGTAAGGCGCTTGCTTTTTGAACTGTAGGTTGTGGATTCGAAACTTTGCTTCTCTTTTTTCTGCCCTACAACTATTAATTTTTGGGGTTTTTTATACCTTCCTTTTCCAATTCCACCCCTTGATTTTTTGTCTTTTGTTATTTTTTTTTGTGGGCTATTTTTGGTTAAGTGAGTTTTTATGGTTATTTTTTGTTAAGTAATTAAGGATTTTGGCTAAATTTGTATTTTCCCCCATTTTTAAATTCATTTTTAAAGGTTTATATGTATTTATACATTATAAAATGTATTTATATGTATTTATATATTTATACGTTTTCGCCATATACATTTTAAAAACATATTTATATGTTTTTATACATTATAAAAATGTATATATATATATATATATATATATATATATATATATATATATATATATATATATTAAAAAAAACGTACTTCACATTTATATGTTTTAATAAAAAATATAAAAATATGTTTTTGTTTGTTAAACCACTTGGTCGACATACAAAAAAATGGTTTAAAAAAAGTTCATTAGTTTGGTTAAGAAACGTAGCAAGAAAAAAATGTTTTTTTAAAACGAAATAAATAAATTAATAATAATAATAATAATAATAATACCTCCTTATAGATACATGAAAGCGGAAAATAAGCATATCGAAGTCTCCTTGCTAGGTGGTAAGGCGCTTGCTTTTTGAACTGTAGGTTGTGGATTCGAAACTTTGCCTCTCTTTTTTCTGCCCTACAACTATTAATTTTTGGGGTTTCCTATATATTCCTTTTCCAATTCCACCCTTTGATTTTTTGTCTTTTGTTTTTTTTTTTTGTTTTTTTTCTATTTTGTTTTTTTGTTGTTTTTATTTCTTTTTTAATTATTATTATTATTATTATTATTATATTTTTATTATTATTATTATTATTATTATTATAAATTTCGCACAAAATTTTAACATTCGGAAGACATTATAAATTCAAACGGCTATATAAAATCGGTTTTTAAATATTTTTTATATATTTTTTAATTACGGACAAAAAAGTCGTTCGAATTTTATAATGTCGTGCGAATTTATAATGTTTACCGAATTTTAAAATGTCATCCGAATTTAATAGTAATAATATTAAAATATAAAATAAAAGGAAAAAAATCAAAAACAAAAAGGAAAAAAAAATAATGTCAAATCAAAAGTAAAAAGTTGATTTGATTGATGTTAGGAGGGTAAAATTGATTAAGGGGTACTTATAGCACAACCCTTAATTTTTCTTGTCCGCATATCTTTACCACCAAATTAAAATAAACTTATTTACACTTTCTTCGGAACTGTGTCAGACCATATTTGACCGACATCTTTTCAAGAGACTCCAACTACCCCTATTGGGGTCTATTTGGCGAGCGCTCACACTATATTAAATAAAAAAATGAGTTAATTTGGTGAACTAGGCCGGCATTCCAACCCAAGTTCACAAGAGCTCACACCAATCTACTTTACACGTGTTGAAGCAAGAAACATACACCCATATTTTTTTTAGATAACATTATATATTTTAGGATAAAAAACATTATCTGCTAAAAATCTAATATTATCTCAATCAAAAAAATTTTAAAAAAATACTAAATTTTTTATTTTCTCTATAAATAGAGTATAATATTGATATACTTCATATCTCATCTCAACTTTTCATTTCTAAACCCTTTTGATTTCTTTAATAAGATGAATCCAAATTTCGTCTTAAATCTTGATGATTCTCAAGATTATCAAAACTTTCAAAGTTATGAAACCTCACAGTTTTTCGCAAATCCCAATCAATTTCCCATCACTGAAAATGTTCAAACCTCACAAAATACTGGAAAAAATCCAAGAGGTGATAAATGGGATGTTGATGAAGATATCGCTTTAATGTCAGCATATTGTATCGTTAGTGAAGATGAGAGACGTGGAAAAAACCAAAAGAAAACATCAATATGGGCACAAGTGAAGGAGCTATATGATGCAAATCAGGCGGAAAACCCAAGAAAGATTGGTAACAGGAACATAGCTCAAATGAAAGGTCGTTATAAACGACTTAATGAAAGTGCCGGCAAATGGGTTGGTGTTTACCGAGAAGCATATAGAAAAAGAAGAAGTGGAATGAGTATGAAAGATGTTGAGAACGAAGCTCATAAATTGTATGAGACAAGTGGAAGCAAGTTCAATGACACAATTGTTTTTAATGAGGTTATGTGTAAACATCGAAAAAGGGATTTACTTGTGGAAGGTGCCATTTCATGCTTTCGTGAAGAGTACCTTAGAAGTCCCAATAGAGATGATTTGGCACGACTGCTCCATGTTGGAGAAGAACGTGGATTTCCAGGTATGGTAGGCAGTATTGATTGCATGCACTGGGAATGGAAAAACTGTCCCACCGCTTGGGCTGGACAATATGCAGGTAGAAGCGGTAAGACAACAATAATTTTGGAAGCTGTTGCATCGTATGACTTATGGATATGGCATGCATTCTTCGGAACACCAGGTTCGTGCAATGACATTAACGTCCTCCAAAGATCTCCTCTTTTTGATGATGTCTTAGCAGGTCGAGCACCAAAGGTGAGTTACACTGTGAATGATCGAGAAAATAATATGGCTTATTATCTCACTGATGGCATATATCCTTCATGGGCTGCCTTTGTCAAGTCAATAAGTTCTCCACAACTTCGAAAACACAAGTTGTTCGCAGAACATCAAGAGGCGGCTAGAAAAGATGTTGAACGAGCATTTGGAGTTTTACAAGCTCGTTTTGCTTTTCTTCATCGCCCTTGCCTTGTGTGGGACAAAGATATGATGGGGAAAATTATGATTGCATGTATCATTATTCATAATATGATAGTTGAGGATGAACGACACACATACCTTCATTATTATGATCCATCAGAATTTATAACTACAGAAGACGAAGAATCTTTTGAATACTCTACTCAACGAATTGGAGATCTATCCCGCTATATGACCAACAGGGCACAAGTTCGCAATAGAGAAGCTCATAACGCTCTAAAAAACGATTTGATTTAGCATATATGGAAAAAATTCAGCACTGAAGAATAATTTAGTAGTTTGCATCTTTTGTATTTGTAACTTATTTTATCTATTTTATTAAGTATGTTTCATGAATGTAAAATATTTTTTTTTATTTTTTTTATTTAATTTTACGTTTAAAATAAATAATTTATTTGTTTCAAAATAAAATATTTATTTTTAATATTTCTAGTAGTTTTTAGTAAAAGAAAATTTAAATTAAGTTATATTTTTAAATAAAAATGGGTTTGGATTGGGTTGCTAATGGGTGTAAAAAATTAGATTGGATTGGGTTGTATAGGTGGAAGAGAGAGAAATTAGTTTTTTATTAGAAAAGTTGGGTTGGGTTGGGTTGCTAATGGGGGTAGTCTTAAGCAACCTTAATACTTAAAGACATTGTGATAAGCAACCTTAATACTTAAAGACATTGTGATGTTCTCTTCAACTTACTTTACTCATTTTATCAATTTTGACGACATACTTCTATTTTTAACCGATGGTAGCAACACAATTTTTTTAACCAATGATAGAAAGACACTTATCTTTTTAACCGGTAATAGCAACATACTTATTTTATTAACAATTAATAGCAACACTTATCTTTTAACCAATAATAGCAATGTACTTAGCTCTTTCACCAATAATATATATATATAAATATATATATATATATATATATATATATATATATATATATATATATGTAGTCGACAATAGCAATGTACTTATTCAAGTCACTACTATTGCACCATATAATGTATCATCAATTGTATAGACAATGACATTATACAAACAATTACGATGCTTGTGCAAATATAGAAGTTGATCATTCAAATAAATCGGACATCACAACCTTAACAACGACATACTTAAAGATTCGATGCAAGCAAGTTCTCCTACTGCATGACGAGTCTGATAACGATTTTCAAGTCGTCTTTAATTTAGTTCTAATGTGTTTTATGACATTCTTTTGAACTTTGCATTCATTTTCAAGTATTTTGTTTATTTCTATGAATTCGTATTAAGACTATTTCACATTTAACATTATTTTGGATTTAAATTGGGTTCCTATATAGAAAAATTGTCAAGGGTACAATAATCATTTTTACATTGGTCAAACCTTCTATCAGACGGGTATAACACTAATTATAATGACTATTTCAATTTGATATAGCATGTCAAAGTAATCAATGATATAAAGAAATTGTTAATTTTGATGATTTTTTTTATTAACAAAACTAAAATATATTTGTTAAGCAACAAAAACAACTAATATATATATATATATATATATTTTTTGTATATTTGACTTTTATATTATTATGATAGTATTTTCAAAAAGACAAAATTGCAAAAATGGTCCCTGTGGTTGTCAAAATTCTATGCTTTTGGTTCAAAACGAAATGTTGGTGCACCACTGGTCCAAAATTGGATCTTTTTAGTGATTTTGGTCCCTATCCACTTAAAAAGACAATTCTACCCTTTATACTTGTTTTTCTTATTTTTATATAAATTTTAATGATTTTAAGTAATTAAAAATTAGAGAATAGCTCTTCTCTCTCTCTCTCTCTCTCTCTCGTGAAGAATACAAATCATCATCTTCTACCCCTTTATCTTCTTCGTGATTTCCAGGGTTTTTGATTTCTACAACAACATTAATAGAAACACACACACAAGATGAACATATCTGCAAACGATCTTGATTTCTAGAAACAAGCTAGACACAAGGACAAACACACATACATGCATACGATTTCAGAACCCAAATCGTGTTTGTGTTTGTTCAAAACGCTTTATTGATCTTCACTCATGGGTTCTCATCTTCTAGATCTAATAAGTGAGGAGGTGGAGAGCTCAAGATGTCCAATTCAAGAACCAAACAGCTAGACGATTTCAACAAGTTGTGCGCAAGTTATATATGTTGGAGATTATTGAAAAAGTTATGTCCTTAATACTGCCAACGAAAATGAATCAGTGTCGCTGTAGCTGTCTCCGGTGATGGAAGATGTTAAGCGTCATCCCCCGTCTCATTCCCCCAAAATCCACCGGTGAAAATCCCCATTTTTCAGTGGATCGATCCACAATATGTGTATAAAAATAGAAGATGCAAACATGTTTGATTTCCCACTTCTTCGCCATCAAATCGTCAGCCACCACCAGATGCAAACTACGATCTGGTTCCTGATCTTGTTTCCACTTCTTTCTTCCTTAGATTTCATTAGATCCACCACTTTGATTATCTGGAAACCGATTTGAGTTTTGTTATTGATTTTGGTTTAGTTTTATCTCCATTACCCTTCCAGCTTGCCCTTGAACCGATAGTCGGTGAGGAAGAAGATGATGTAGTGGTTAGTGTGATCTACAAAGTGGATGGACGGAAGGTGTTTCCGAGGGAGCAATTTAAGCAGCAACAGTCGTGCAGGGGAGGGCTTTCGGTAGTGGTGCTCGAACGGAGGAGGTGAGGTATGCGAGGGGTGGCATCGGTGATGGTGGGGACTGCCCACCACAGCAGCGACGACGAGTGGTGGTTGCATAGCAGTTCTGCTGCTTCTGTCTTTCCAGTCTAATGGTGATTGACGAGGAAGATAAACAATAGCAACGGTGGATGGTGGTGGAGATGTTCAGGGTTGGGCTTGGTCGACCAAAATAGTGGCGGCAGTGGGTGGTGTTGGGCAGTAGGAAGTGGTGGAGCGTGACCGGAGCAAGGCGGAGGAGGGTCGGTAGTCACCAATCGTCGGTGAATCAAGAACTTGAGCGAGTAGGTTGTAATGTTGTATGAAGTCAGATAAGAGAGAGAGAGAGAGAGAGAGAGAGAGAGAGAGTGAGTGGTGTTATTTTCTTTTTATTTTTTAATGAAAATAATAACAAAATGTTAAAAATAAATAAAAAAAGAATTATCAAAGGGCATATTCGTCATTTCAGGTTGGGTCAGGACTAAAAACACACAAAAATGTCAACTATAGGGACCAAAATCACACAAGGTATCTAAAATTGGACCAGTGGTGCACCAACATTTCGTTTTGGACCAAAACTACAGAATTTTGTCAACCACAGGAACCATTTTTGCAATTTTGTCTTTCAAAAACTATCAACAACCGAGAGACTATGTTTTTTCTTTCCTATTGCATGCATAAAGCACCCACTTACATAATATATTTACAATTTTTAATTCTTATAATTTCTCTTTTTGGTAAACTTTCTTTCTATATGACTAGAGATGGGCACAAAAACCGGATTCGGGTCTAGGATCCGATCCGATCCGGAAACCGAATTTAGTCAAAACCGGATTTGACCGAACGGGATTGGATTAATCCGGTGACCGGATCTAAACCGGTACCTCGCTTCGGACTACATATCAGTATAAAGTAGTAGAAATTTGTGTAAAATGAAAATGGAGCAAATGGCTTGTATTTAGATCCGGTCAATTGGAGCGTTTTGAACAAAGAAGTGAAATATTTGTTTTGGTTACGAGACCAATGAGACAAAAACTAGTCAAATATTTCAAAGAAATGCCACCACTTTTTACTTGCGCCGCGGCATTAAACCCTTGTATCAATGTTACGGGTGTAGAGGCATTGATTACCAAAATTTCTCTGTCTTTAAATTTGCACAAAGATGACTCAAACTACATCCATAACCAAATACACACTTTTAATAATACTTTTACTAATTTGTTTGACATTTACGCTACAAAATATGGCAATATGTCAAACACTTTTGCAAGTGTAACCGATTCTACTAGTGGTGCATCGGGTAGTGGTGGGGGTCGAACGGATTTTCATATCGACCTCTATAACTACCTTTTGGAGGAACAAAACAAAAGAGCACGCACATTAACCCCTAGTAGCGAACTTGGAATTTATATAGGGTCAAACTTTTTAAAATTCATGAGTGCACCACAATTTAAAATTTTGGATCTTTTGGCTTGGTGGAGAGAAAAGGAAGCGCAATTTCCTATTCTCTCCGCCATGGCCCGCGATTTACTAACCGTCCAAGCTTACACGGTAGCTTCGGAATCCGCTTTTTCTTTTAGTGGTAGAGTTTTATCAAAGTTGAGGACGAATCTTACCCCGGTTGCGGTAGAAATTTGCGTTTGCTTGAGGATTACTTGGATTCGGTGGAACGTATACAACACTTGGCATCACTAGAAGACCCACTACCACAAAATGTTGAACCGGAGATCATGGATGAAGAATATGCACAAGACTTATCAACACCTCCGGAAGACGAAGACGATGACGATGAAGACGAAGACGAAGATGAAGAATATGGTATTGATGAGACCCCTAGTTATTTGCGTGACGGTTGAAGAATATTTTAGTGAAAACGACACGAAGTGGAAGACCACAAAAACTATTTCTATTTGGCTAAATGTTATAACGCCACTTTATTATTATTATTATTAGTTAACTAGTTTGAAAACTCTTTCTAATTCGACGTTTGATGTATGTTTTAACTATTTTAATGAACCTATGTTGCAGTTTGTGTTATATATGAGGTCCAAAAAATGTTTTTTTTAAATTAAAAAAAAAAAGGTAAATCGGATCGGATTTCGGATCGGATCCTAACCGGATCGGATTAAACCGATTCGGATTCAGAGTCGAAAAACCGGTCAAATCCGGTTTGAAACTGGTTCGGATTTTGGGATGATTCGGATCCGGTGTGACGTAATGAAACCGGATCCGGATCGGATCCTGTGTTTGTGCATCTCTATTAATATGACCATATTTCTTTTTACGGGAAACTTTCTTAATTTTCTGATACTGCAGCACATGTACGATTATTTGTATGTTATTTTTTTTCATGTCTGGTTTTGATTCGCACTTAAAAAGGAAAAAAGAACCAAAGTAATCACAATAAAGAAATGTACGACCATGTTAGCAGTGCAATTTTTGCATTTTCCATTGCAATGATACAATCTTTTACTAACAATTTTTTGAAAGATGTAACTTATCTTTCTGGCACTATTAATATGCCACTTTTGAATACAATTATTACGTCCATTAATCTTATTTCTATACCAAAATGGGTTTTCAAGAGAACCTTCACCTTTATGTGTTGTTTTAGTAGACGAAACCTTTAGAGTATTTCATTTTTCTTTGAACTTCAAAACAATAAAAACTTATTTATACATAAAAAATTTAACCATGTAAGCTTTTTAAGAAGAAAACCTTTTAAGACTTTCGGGTATTATATCTAGGGGCGGACCTAGGGGTGGTCCACGGTGGCACCGGCAACCCCTAACTTTTCCGGCCGCAGTGGAAAATTTTCAAAATTTTATTTTTATGCTACCGTGCAACCCCTAACTTTCCCGTGCAACCCCTACCGTAAAATCCTACGTCCGCCCCTGATTATATATATGTGTTTGTATAAACATGAAATGTTTTTAATGAGCCAAATCCTTTTAAACTTTCTATATATTGGATCTTTTATGTTAAAAATGATCAAGTCGGGCAGATGGCACCAAATTATGATATCACATTTGGTCACGGTTGGGTGAGCGAGTATTGCTACGTCTTGGAAACCTGACATCAACACAAAAGGATTGTTAGAGCTGGTTTTGACATGTGTCTCGGGAACCGACTCTGATAATTACTTTAATCCCTATGTAAAGTGAGAAACCTTTCTCCAAATGGAAGAAAACCAGTTCTAAAGAGCGAATAGTGTGTATAGGCATATATAATACTCTTATGGTCAATTTTTTTAAAATTATATTTAATGAGAAAGCCAAAAAAATATTGTCAAAATAAGGAAGAACTTTAATTAATTAATCTTCTTGATATAAATATTTTTTTAAAGTTTTTATACAAACATTTAGGGGGTGTTTGAGATTCTTTTTAGGCAGGTGGGAGTGGGGATCGCTAAGACTCTTGTTAGCATAAGGCAAACACCGCCCTTAGCATGTGCTAAGAGAGATGCTAAGCAATACTCGTTACCACCTCAACGAGAGGAGAGAGAGACCCAACTTGTTTGTGATTTTTCATTTTCTTTGCTTTTTTTTTTGTTTTTTCTTTCTTTTTGCATCAAATTTTTTGATTGGTTCTTTTTCATTTGATTTTTGTTTTTCTTTTTAAAATTCAAGTGTACATGAAAGCTTATGGGGAAGGTAAATATGATGTGCTAATATATTTAGCATGTGCTAAACAGACTACCACTTCCTATGGTTTTAGAATGACTTTTGACTTTTAACTTTTCCAAAAAATAAAAAAAAAAATATTTGGGTAATAGAAAAGTTTTTTTGAAAATGATTTTTTGCATAGAAGAAAAGTAAGAGTTTCTCAAACTCACAAAAACCTGACGCTTTTGTGACTTTTTATTGTTTTATATATAAAAGTTAAACAAATAGTCATTTTGCTGACTTTTTGTTAATCTAAACACATTTTAAAAAACCCATTTTGCAAAAAGTCCTTCTACGAAAACGATTTTTGATATTCAAAAGTAATCCCAAACACCCCCTAAGTCTTTTAATGATTATCTTATGTAAAAAGACTGAGAAAATTACCATTTTATCATTTTGAGATTTTAGGATGTTTTCATAATAATATGATTGAAAAATGATCAGATATAACTAGAATATTTATTTTAAGGTTATAAAATAATAATTAAATATATTGTATATACATAAAATTGATAAGAGGTAAAAACTAACATCTCGTTCCCGAGTTCAATTTAACGATAGAAAAGAAAGAAAATTTGTGGAAATGAAATAAAAAAAAAAAAATTGGTGTTTCAAGTTTCATTAAAAAAATGAAGTGAATGGAAATTAAATGGTCATTTTTCCTCATAACTTTCTTTTCGATTTGAAAGTATTTAAAAAATAATTTTTCTTCTACTTCTCTACAACTCATGAACACAAAAAGAAAATTCTATTTTACTTTATTTTCTCTCCTTTTCTCTTTTACTTTATTTATTTATTTATTTATTTTAAGTCGGGAACTAGGTACTGAAGAAAGGAAGGCAATTAGCTTCCCAAACACTTTTGCCCTCTCCACGAGGCTAGTTACCACCGCCACAGCCATCGCGGAAAGATGACAAGAGTGCCACCCCCACCATGGAAACCCCTACACATACACGTACTCTTCTCCTTCCTTTTCCTTTTAATTACTGTGGTCGAGTTTTCCTGTGCGAGTTCACAGCACTTCTTGACTTCCGAGCGAATCACATTGCTTAAACTCAAGCAACAATGGGGGAATCCGCCGTCACTGAGGAACTGGAACGCCTCTTCATCGCCATGCAACTGGGAAGAAGTTATCTGCAACCACAACGGCTCTGTTGAGTGGCTTCTACTCATGAGCATGGGATTAACTGGACACATACCTCCGTTCATCTGTGACCTACGGAACCTGGAAACTGTGTTTCTCAGTGATAACTTCCTCACCGGAGAGTTCCCGAAGGTTTTTTATAATTGTTCCAAGCTAGTTAATATTGATATCGCACGGAACGGTTTTTTTGGAAGGTTTCCGAATGATATTGACCGATTATCAGGACTCATGATGTTTGCTGTCGGAGGTAATAACTTCACCGGCGATATACCTCCTGCCATCGGCAATTTGTCCGCGTTAATGTATTTGTCGTTGGATAATAACTTGTTCAGTGGTTCAATCCCGTCGGAGATTGGAAATTTATCTAATCTGGAAACGTTGGATTTGAGTTCTAACGATTTGGAAGGTGAAATCCCTTCTGGGTTGCTTCTGTTGAAGAAACTGTATAGTTTGACCTTGCACAAGAACAATTTATCTGGAAGAATTCCGTCGATGATCCAGTCTTTACATTTAATTGAAATCGATCTCTCCATCAACAAATTGAACGGCTCAATTCCTAAAGATTTTGGCAAATTGCGGCAGCTGGAGGTGTTAAATTTGTTTTCAAATCATTTATCCGGCAACATTCCATCGGAGATCAAGTCATGGAGTTCACTAACCACTTTGCATCTAGCGAGAAACAAACTTTCTGGCCCGATTCCACCAACCATCGGTTATTTGAAAGGTCTTCTCAATCTTGATTTATCAGAAAACCAATTTTCGGGCGACATTCCGCCACAAATGAGTCATTTGAAACTGATGACTTTAAATCTTTCTTCGAACAAACTAGCCGGAAAAATCCCATTTGCATTCGATAACCTCGCTTACGAAAATAGTTTCTTAAACAATCCCGATCTATGTTCTAGTGCTTCATCCCCAATCTCAAATCTCCATAACTATTACGCCAAATCCCCACACTCCCAGAAATTTCCCCCCAAAATCATCGCCGTGATTGTCGTCTTGTCAACATTGATCATACTTTTCGCCATTCTGTGCACCATGAACGTCTACAGACGATACCTCAAGAAGTAACTCATTGCGAATCTCACGTCATGGAAACTTGCTGGAAATTGATCGATTCAAAGTTAAGTGATGAAATAAAGATAGGTGTTTAATTAGTTTAATTAGATCTTTTATTTTGCTGTAATCAGTTAAGCGAAGACTATGAAGTGTTATCAGGTGCTGAATGAAATCATTGATAAAAGGTAAGTTTTATGTTATTAATTCTTGTAGGTTGATGTTTGTGTGATCAGGTCTGCCAATATATTAATAGTATTATAATATGACATAATGGTTTTTAATGGTTTTTACTTGGTATTCTTGAATTCTTGATCATGTTGGTGATGAATTGAAATATTGGGTGTATAATATGAATATATTCGTATCAAACGAAGCAATTCAATCCTTTAGAAGTTGAGAGTAAGCCCCGTTTGTTTGCATCTTAATACCACTTAATAAGGGGTAGGTCCGAATCGGTAAGATTCAGACTGTTTGTTTACCTCTTATTTTGTGGTCTTAATCTGAATTTTATCACTTACCGAATCAGACTTGGAAGCCCATCTGAAAAGAAAAAAAAGACGCGCGTTCCCTTTTTGCCCTGGTATGTCACCCCTTTCCCTCTTCTCTTTCTTTCACAACTGTCGACCCCTCCTTCTCCTCCATCTCCAATCGCACAATTACAACCCTCCGACATCATCCGTTTGGCTCCGTTAAATCTGCAACGCCGCCGTTGTCGCCGGATTCGCCGCCGTCTCCGACTGCATCGCTTATGTCGCCTTCGCCTCCGGGTCGTGCTGCTTCGCCCTCGACATCTTCTTCAGGTAAAGTTTTAGTTTTCTCTTGCTCTATAATTCAAGTTTAATGATTGAAAATCGAGTATCAGAGTTGTTTCCCCTGAAATTCGATTATTAGAGCATCGTTCTAATCAGTGGCGAATCTAGAAAGTAAAATCACGTGGTTCACTAAGTGGGTTCGGTAGACAATGAATATATATATATATATATATATATATATATATATATATATATATATATATATATATATATATATATATATATAATACTAGTTGCGGACTCGGCTCGGGTCATATGTCTATCATGTATAAAGTAGGAGAAGAAACGACGTGGTGAAAACACCTCTTTGTTTTGCCTTTTTTCTATTATCTATGTTTAACTTATTTTGAACTATTTTTTATTGGATTATATCTTAAATGAATTGAATATTTGGCCATAAAATATAAAATGTGGCCTTTAAGAATCTTGATTTATACCTTTTTTTTCAAAAACATAAAATTGATTTAAGGTAGTTCACTTTAAATATTTAAGATAGGTCACAATTTATATTTATCAATGAAATCTTATAAGGAAAAGAAAATTAGGTGGGTCAAGTGACCCACCTTCAATACATGTAGACTCGCCCATGGTTCTAATGACCACAACTTTAGGTCCTGGAGTTGATTTATGTATCTATATATTTGTATCTACATATTTGTGTATCTATATATTTATGTATCTATATATATATTGATTTATGTATCTATATATTTGGAGTTGATTTATGTATCTATATATTTGTCTGTGTGATTTTTGTATCAACGTGGATTTCTTTCTCCTTTTTTGTCTATGTTATAAGTAGAGGAGATTTGATTCCATTATTACGATGAACTATAAACAGAATATGCTTGGAGGGGCATACAACTCTTCACAGGCACAACCAATGTAATACTCCTTTTCATGCCATACAGGTTCATAACCAACAATGAACTTTCCTAAAATCAAGTATGTGCCTTTTAAATTCTTCAATTTTAGCCCATCCACATTTCAGGGTTTCAATGTGGAGATAAACACCAGATGAAAGAGAGATGTGAGAATGAATGAAAGAATGTTTGATGCAGGGGTATGTTGGTCAAGCGGTCATCATCCTTGGATGTCATTTTAGATTTTCATTGATTGTAATGCTTGAGATGTGAGAATGAATGAAAGAATTTTTTGTAATAAAGACTGCTTTTTTTTAAAGACTATTTGTACATGATTATAATATGATATATATATATATATATATATATATATATATATATATATATATATATATATATATATATATTTACATTTCCGGTTCCAAACAATTGGCTAGTAATTATAATGAAATATTAGGTTGTTTAGTTTTCATTGTATTTTTTTGTAATATTGGGTGTAATGTTTAGCATCCTACTTCCATGGATTTTTTTCAAAGATATGATGTTGTAATTGAAAGAAATGATACAAAAGGGTAAAATTGTCATTTTTATCATTCAGCACCAAAATTCAGATGTTCAAACCAAACAGCATGTTAAAAATTCAGATCTTAAAAATTCAGACCCTCTTAGAAATTCAGACCTCTTAAAAATTCAGATCTTAAAAATTCAGATCCTGCCAAACAGCCCCTAAGCAGAACTTGCAACCAAACATAGCAATCGTGACACCATGGGTTAATTTTGAAGATATGGTTTGTTAGCTTCATTCTCGTCTTGTAATAGAGAACAAAGACATTTGCTCATCGTGTCAAGAGTTGAGGTTCACAAGTTGATAAAATTGTGATTCTATTAAAGCTTTGAATGTTGAGGATAAATTTTTGAAGTAGAAGTAACATGAAGAACGGAAGAATAAACGTGTGAGCTTATTGGTTAATAGTTATTAATAACATAATTAATTCCTTCTAGTTTTAGATAGGAGTTTATAATCATATGTTGTTACTTGGATTTACCTCATTTTACGATTCATCGCATTTCTTGTCAGTTTATATAAGGCTATCTGGAATTGTTACCACGACCATGGTCATGGTTTCCTTCCACCTCAACGAAAAACACAGCCACAACTCACCACATTGGTGTCCAGTGGCGAGACTATGTATAAGGAAGGTGGATCCTAAGACCCAACTAATTTTTTTAATTTATCAAAATTTTCTATAGAAATTTTTTAGGGACCTACCTTAAAAAAAATTTAGGACCTACGTTACCTATAAAAATCTTCGAATTTGTATAGAAAAATATATATAGAAAAATTAGTGAATAATATTGTTTTCTATTATAGACTCGCCACTGTTGGTGTCTAGTTGGTGTGCACGAGAGAAAGAAGACAAAAGAAGAATGCTTGTAGAGCGAAAGAACGTCGTCGTCAAATGTGGTGGTGACCACAATCCTCTACAACAACACCCAACAATGGATGGTCAGGGTGGTATTCGTGATCAAGGTTCATGATAAGGTGGATAACGAAGCCCTCCATGGAGAGTATTCCGGAATGCCTAAGTGGGTTCTGTACCAGTAGTATATATGTTCTTAGATTTCTTAAATAAAATGTGTAAAAGTGTACGTATAAATGTTTTTTTAACTAGAGAGAAGTGTTACGAGCTTATATTCAAGAATGTTGAACGGTGTTCATTTAAAAATTCAGACACATTCTCCAAATGAGGTAAGATTGGACTCCTCACATAAGAAGGATACACATTCTCCAAATGAGATAGATCGGACTTCTCACACAAGAAGGATGTCAAACATCCAATAATTCATTTGACAAAAAAAAAGTTTGCCTATGTAAATTATATCTAAAAAGTATTTGAGAAAATCAACGCAAATTTGAGGAAATGGAAAGAAAAAGTAATTGAAAAAATAAACATTATATAGCTCACCATATGCATGTTTTTGTTTAAGGCTTCTCCTTTAATAACTTTTGCTTCTGTCTCCTCTAGACGGTTTTTTAGCTCCAAATTAACTTTTTTTTTATTTTTTATTTTTTTTAATCTTATTCTTGTCTCTACTATAATACTTCAGATATCTACAACATAAATAATCAAACATTAAGCTTTGTTACTTTTTTTTCTAATTAAAAGTTGTCTGGATATAAATAATGTTTAATAAATGTTTGAGATAATGTCATAAAAGCCTTAAGTTTTGCAGAAAATGTCGGTTTTACCATTTGGCAGATTTTTGGTTCGTTTATACCGCAAACTTGTCATTTTTTGTCGGTTTTGCCATTTTTACCTGCAATAACAGGTTTCTAAGTTACCATGAATTATTTTTTGCGAAAAAACCCTTAAGTTTACAAATATTTTGCAAAAAAACCCTTAAGATTATAAACATATAAAATATAGATATATATTCAAAATTTGATAAAACTAATAGTTTTTTAAAAATTAAATGTCAAAAGTTTATATCAAACTAATATAAGTTTTATTGAACTTATATTATGAAACCAAAATCAAAACATATTTTTAGCTTTACATATGGTAAATTTTATATTGGTTTGATATAAACTGATTATATTTAAATTTTAAAAAGTTATCTAGTTTTATTAAAATTTGAATATATTTCTTAATTAATACTTCAACTTTTCAAAGCAAAATTAAAAAACGTCTGTTAGTTAATAATTAATTATGCTAAAATAGTTAAATATATGAATGATATGACATCAATTACATTCAATTAATTTTTTTAAAAGGTAAACAAAAAAAAATTATATGTTTAAAAGGTTTGTATTTCAGAAATAATAACGTATCATATTTTTTATATGTTTAAATACATAATAATATTATCATATATTTTTTTTATAAAAATATCATAAACATTTTAAACATCAAAAATAAACATAAACATTTTAAACATATAAAATATAAATATATTTGTCTAATTTATTATATAAATATATTTATTTGTATAAAAAATATGATAGTTTATTATTTCTAATATACAAACCTTTTAAACATATAAAATATTTTTATTTTCCTTTTAAAAAGATTAATTGAATGTAACTAATGTCATATTATTCATATGTTTAGCTGTTTTAGCATAGTTAATTATTAGCTAACAGAAGTTTTTTAATGTTGCTTTGAAAAGTTTAAGTATTAACTAATAAATATATTCAAATTTTGATAAAACTAGGTAACTTTTTAAAAAGTTAAATATAAAAACTTTATATCGAACCAATATAAAATTTACCGTACGTAAAGCTAAAATATGTTTCAGTAGAAAACTATTTAGTTTTATCAAATTTTGAATATAT